TTGCTATCAAAAGTTATTCAAAAAATACTCACGAGCATTCATGTTCATGCTACCAGCACATATGCGAAAGAAACAGATCTTATCGAAATTTTATTATTATAATATTAGTTGAATATTGATCAAATAGTATAGAAAAATAGAGCGAAAGACGCTCTATCTGTTCATTAAAAGAGAAATGTTTTTGAAGCGCTCCTTAAGAAAATAAAGTACCTCCCTCAGTACTTTTGGATTGCCCTAAGTAACATTGTCTCTAACTCACACTCGCATAACACTACCAACAGTATGTCGTTAAAAAAGCACAATAGTTTTAATTCCGGCTTTTTATACTGTAAAAAAGAAGTGTGTAGTTAGGTGTGTAGATAGCCTGGATGTTCAGGGTAATCCAAAAAAGTATAAATCGCATAGCAACGTCATATCATTGACCTTAGTATGGAAAACTATACGGTCACTCATTTCTGATGTGATGTTTACTTAAAGAGGCTTACTATACTGTAAAGTCGGGAATTATTTATAGAAAACCCAGCTCGATTTTCAAGAAAGTTGGAAAATCGACATCGATTCTCTACACTGTTGGGAATTATTTATAGAAAATCAATCTCAACTTCAAAGATCAAATTAAGCTGTCGATTTTCCAACTTTTTAGAAATTCCTCATCGATTTTCTGGTAAATGAGAAAAGTCAATTTATAGAAAATCGAGCGGATTCTATAAAGTAGAAAATCAACACATTTTCTAAACACTCAGAAAATCTAGGATTTTAAAAAAGTGTAAAATCCTTGGCGATTTTGTCAGATCGATTTTCCATAAAGTAGAAAATAATTCCAAATTACAGTGTACAAATATTGTTAGGTTTTCGAGTGAACTAAGATCTTTCTTACCTAACGTTTATTTACAAATAAAACAGATATCTCTGAACAATAAAATTGATCTATTTATATAGGAAATATTGCGCGATAGTCTTGAATAGACTCTGCGCAATAACCTTGACCATAGTCTTGTATATATTCTTGCGCAATAACCTTGAGTATGATCTTCTGACTTATGTCACGGCTCTAGTACATGACATAACACCTCTCCCCATGCAACAAGATGAACTTCCACGTTCATCGAAAATTTAAATGCCTCTTGAAGGTCCTTTTGATGTTCAATGTTTCAGTACTGCCACTACCATTATCATTGAGCAAACGTTTCGATTTGAGCACGTTCGTTGCAGCAAACTGAAATTCAGGATTTGCCACCAGCATGGTTGATTTTCCGTTTGTTTGCATTGTCATATTATCACTATGGGAGTTTGATCAATCATTCATTGTTAGAAAAGTGTTGAAACTATTTAGCTGGTAAATAGTGGTATTGGTCTAATGAATCATGCTGGCGGCAGCTTCATGAATGATTGATCAAACTCCCATAGTGATAATATGACAATGCATGCTGGTGGCAAATCCTGAATTTCCGTTTGCTGCAACGAACGTGCTCAAATCGAAACGTTTGCTCAATGATAATGGTAGTGGCAGTATCAGCGTAATTTTACTTTATTGTAATATTTTATAATTACATTAAAACCGAATACAAAGCCGCGATTTCACCTGAAATACCTGAAATGTTTGGAAAAACTTGAAAATCGAAAAAGTAGACTTTTGTCATATTTTAATTATTCCTTGTTCTATTTCCCATTTTAAAAACCTTAGTTACACATGAATCGAACGAGCAGAAAAAACTAAACAAGATAGACTAGTCTTAAGAGATTCAACTCATAAGTTAGTGGTAAAAAAAGTTCAATTCAAAAGAATATCATATCCTTAAAGAACAGAATAGCAGAGTACCATGAACACTTTTACAAAAGAACTGCTCAATGTGTCGAATGAAACTGTTTTTTGGTCTCCTGAACGTTTTTGGAAAAAATCTGAAAAATTTTACGCACTAACCTGAAAAAACCTGAGAGATATTTCGAATTTTTCACTATCACACTTTGCAAATACTTCTACGTTTCGAACTTTAAAAGTTCATTTTCAAGAATAAATACAGAAACGTGTTACTAGCTGGTTAGATTTCCTAGTTCTTATCGAACTTTTAAAGTTCGAAACGTAGAAATATTTGGTTTTAATTCAATTATAAAGTATTTTAATAAAATGAAAATTACTGCTGTTACTTTATTATGTTTATTGTTATATTTCTCTATTGAGAATAGCTTATCATTTCACCAATCACTTGTTGATGTAATTCTAATTTAATTGGCGATCTTTGTCCACTTCGTACTTCACATGATGCTAATTTGTGATCATAAGGCAGTTGTAGTTGTTCATTTCGTCCATAGCCATCTAACAATTGTTTCTAATATTCTTTAGCATCTTCCATATTCATTTACCTTTCATGTTGAGAATAATCGATGTATCTCAAATATTGTTTGGTGTCTAATGTCTTGTTTGTATAAGCCAGTTGTAGATCGTGTTAAAACATCTCAGCTGAAGTGCCATCAAAAGCAATATGATGGAAATTAAACAGAATCATATCACCTGGTGCCTGATCACTGCTGCAATCAGTATTATAGCGAACTAAATGACATCGAAATACAATGCCAAATCTAAATTAAATAGTGACTGATTGATTTCTTCATTCATTCATATCTTGTCCAACTCTTCATTAGTGTTTATACAAATAATTTGAAAGGAATAATATTCATCTCCTGTCGACAGTGGTCTTTTAATTTGTTGTTTTAAAGTTTGATCAGCTGAATTACATTTAATTAATGTTCGTACCATCGACATAATCTCGACTAGAAGCTGAAAATGATAAATGCTATAGATGTGATAAATTCGATAATAAACTTGCGATTAAATTAAAGTTAATGTTTGTTATAGATATTTTCAAATGTGTCAATTTTGACTGAAAATGAATCAAATAGAACGAATCGGGATTCTTGTCCAAGACATATTTATGAAGATAAACATTAAAATATTCGATTAATGGTATATAATCAAACAATTTGATTAAACTATTAAATGAATGAAAATGAATTGTTAAATATTTGATGTTTATTGTGAATGATGATAATAGAAGTCAACAGTAAGGTAAATGACAAGAGATTAATTTGGGCAATTTGAATACTACTTGATAAATGATCTCCCTTAGATCTTTCAATTGATTATTAACATCCAAAATCATTAAATGTTTGATGTTCGACAATGTTGGTAACTTTGGTAAGACATATTTTTTCATTTGACTTAATTTTATAGTATCCAACGTCAATGATTGAAGTAACGAAAAGCGTTCAATATCAAACAAAGCAGTAAAGATTTTCATATGCATATTACGTAATTTGTGCGAGAGGATGGTCTGGAAAAAGGGTAGAATGGTGCCACAATAATAATCACAAACAGATTTTTTATCTATATCAATAAAATTAACATGTACTGGATCATTCTGAAGTATCATATTTATTCTCATAGTTAAATTAATGAACGCCTGAGAAAGATTGTAACCATCTAAATACTCAAATACTTCCATGAATAATGCGTTGGACAACGCTAAACAAGAAGTAAACGTTATTATTGTTGAGAATTTTCGATTCACCGACTATTCCACGAATGTCTCCTACGCGAATCGATTCTTCTTTGTGAATATTAAGATAATTAAACGATGGGTATTATGGAACGTAAGGTGCCCGCAATTCGAACCTCAACTAAAATATTTTTTCTGATTACTGCGTACCTTGCTGGATAGAACACGACGAGCTGAGTAAAGAAGTGGTTTTTAATGTTTTAAAAATTGTTTTACGGTCAAAAAGTTTGAAATATCTGAAATACTCAGTTTTTCGAAACACTGTTCATTTTTACAAAATTCAATTTTGCGGGTTTAGAGTTCTCTTCCACTTTTAAACTATATTTTTCGGATTCAGCATTAAAAACTGAATATAAAAACGATGTTTAATTTAAATTCAAACTCAAAATTTGATTCAGCCTGGCTTGGGGAATCGGACCATTTAGAATAACATGTCTTAAAATAATATGTTTCTCTTGTAAACTATCTAGTTTTTTTTGGTAGTTTGATAAGACAGAAATACGTATGAGTCGACTCAGTTTTTAATTCTGATTCCGGATATAATATTTTAATTGCATAAAAGTTGAGTTCTGATAGAGATAATCAAGAATTGAGAGCAGAATTCTGACTTTTTTTCCTCAGATTAAAATAAAATGTTTACTTCGGAATTCGAATTTGCCGACCCCTTACTCACTAAAAAGATTGTAATATAGTTTCAACTTGAAATACTGACATACCAGATAAGTACTTGAAAGCTGAAGCAAATTCACACAATGTCATGCAAATATATTTTCTGTGGAACTAGTTTTCGAACTCACTCTGACACTGTTCTCACACACTGCTAGAAATACATAGTGTTGTATTATGGAAAAGTCACGGACGAGTCAGGGTCCTGTTCGCCTAAGAATCGTGTCACGCAATTTTCTACTCTGGCAGCATGTATGAAAGGGAAATTTTCCTTGAGCATTCGGATTTTCCAGAGATCCTCTAGAAAACTAAGGCCTAATTCAAAAATCGTGTCCCATCATCCCACGCAATTGTGCCTAGTTAAAAATAAAATCAACCCGAGATCTCTAGCTTGAAGTATAGTTAAAAAACATGCCCCGCACTGGGCATGTTCAGAAAAAATTTATTTGCGTAAGTACCCAGAAAAAAATTATTATTTAAAGACCACAGTTTTCAAGACTTCTAGAAAACTTGCTAAAAAACCACGAAAAAACAGTTGCAGGCCCGAAGGCGATATTGATTCTCAAAGTAGACACTCCAGGCTATCTTCTCATGTGCCTGTATGCAAACTGATTATTTGATACAAAAGATTGGGAAGAAAAATTTTCATGGAAGTATACAATACTAGCTTCAAAATTTTTCTTGAACTTTTGGCCGTACCCTCACCAACAGCAGAGAATCTTCTGGTTTATTCAGTGTACTGAATACGAAAAAGCACTGAAGTCATGTACTAATTTTGAGCAAGACACTTCTGTTCGATGTCTTGAATCACCAGTCCGGCACTATAATTATTACGTAGTGACGTACAACATAGTTCTTCTGCCTTGCCAGAAGGGTAGTACGTAGTTTATATACAGAAAGTAAATGAAACAAAATACTTCCACCTAGACCTAGATCAGGCTTTGTCATTAGCGTGTCTTTGATGCGTAGTAGCATCGTAAAAAGCTTGAATAAACACTACGTTACCTTCAAGTACGACGATATTCATTTCTAAATAATATGTCTGAAGAGATAATAAACCTATTGAACAAGTTTCTTTGCCTATATACTGCTTCCGTTTCTCCCTTTTCTGTCTTTCATTTATTGTTCAACGTATATTATTGTCAGAATCACTGGCAGTCGTGTATTTTCAAATCTTCGATAGTCAAGCCAGTACTATCTACGCATCCACGTCTAGTTAGTAGAAATCAGTGATATACGTTGAACAGTTAAATAGAAAAGGAAGAAATTTTTTGATTTTTCCAAATGTACCATAATTTGTACATTGGACTGGTAATAGAAAAGATATATATTCACGCTAAAATGTACCTTGAGTGTGAGAGAATTAATGATCTGGTACATATATTTTTGTAAGCATGCTCATCCAAAGATAAACTGCCTGAACTATTGTCCATTATTCAATAAATATAATCAGACATATGTTTTACAAGAGGCATAGCTGAAATTGTACAAATGTCTCCATAAACTATAGGTATTTGATGAGAATGGAAGTAATTTTACGTTAAATTAGGTTTGTAAAGTCACAACTACAGTTTTGCATCGGCAATCCAATAAAAACATTTTCAGACGTGTTTATTTTTCACCATTTCTATGTGTCCATCACGGTTGCTCGATCTCTCCTGGTAGCTTTCTTAAATCTTACCTAGTTTCTTAATATTAAGTTTTACGAGCGAGATCCTGATGCGCTCTTTATCTTCTTCGCCAATATTTCTTCACTGAAAGCAAAACGTCACAGAGAATGTGAGAGTTGAGGAGTGGTCCAATGATCAAACTCGGTTTATTCAAAAAATTGTGCTACAGAAAAAAAAACACTGACATTAAACGACGGTGAATGTTTCCGATATACTGGAATAAATAAAATGTGTGCTACAGGTAAAATATGTAAAAGTGCAAGAGAAAGTCGAAGAAAAAAAGAAAAACATAGATCGTCTACACGAATAATTAAGAGAGGAAAGTACTAAATATGATAGATTGTACCGCGAAAAAAATCAAAACAAGTCGAGAGTGGTCGGAATAGATAGAAGAACGATCCGGTGGTCGATATATGACATCCGGAACTGTTCAACACAGCTATGCTTCCATTATGTCAGCAAAGACGAACAGGGAGACATCAGCGTTGGCAAATGTAGCCGACTTTGCAAAAACGTCACTGGACATTTATCGCTTCGTTAGGAGCTACAGGTTTGCAACTAAAAGTGAAAACGCTATTTAACGTCCTGCAGTACATTCTCTCACATATTTGTTAATTTATTTTATTAAACAGTAGTAATACTACCATGTATCGTTGTTGGCATTTTCAAATGATCACCTTCACCCCTCACCCTCAAGTGATGCATTGGTGCTGGCTGCACATGTACTTGACTGTCGTGGTGACGAAGAAAAATGAATATATTTCTTTGTAACTGTGGTGTTATATAAATCGTTATCAATCCGATGAATATTAGACATGGTGATGTAATTAAACCAACTATACCGTATGTTAACGGATGTAAATGACCAACAATACGTGCGTACACCATAAAAATAACTGTTGGGAAACGTAATACTACTAATACTGATATCAATATTACGATACGTTTTATGATTGTTAAATCTCTCAAATTTCGTTGTTGCTGTTTTGCTAAAATAATAACTAATGATACGCGCGATGATTGACGTATAAATACTGTTATCCACAAATACGTCACTGCGATACAGACTAATGGAATAATATACAATATAGCAATGTGATAGATCTCTCCAGTAACATCTGTGTATGGAATAAGACAATATTGGTCCATAGGTAAGTGAATATACCATTTTAGGAAAAGCGGTGGGAGAAGCAGGACAAGACTAAGTAGCCACTGACCAATAATTAATGTAATATATAGTGAATAGGATAATAAGAATTTTTTCTTATAGAAAACAACGTGGAATAGACGACAGATGGATTGTAAATAATAGCTATGATAAATTGAACATTCAAATATATCATAAAGTAGACCCCACACGTAGCAAAAGTCAAGATTGTAAGTTAAAAATCCTGTTGATAAATTAGAACTAGTCATTACACAGAGTGTGATACACATGAGAAGTGCAGCTAAACAGGTGTTACATGTTAAGACCAGAGATATATCATGTGGTTCTTGACGACACTTGAAAATAGCGATGAAAATCGCTAGAAAAATTAGAATAGCTATTAAAATAAGACACAGATTAATAATTCCGAGAACCGTTGCTGTCGTCGACATTTCACCAAGTGTTTTTTGCTGAATGAATCCGAGGATCTTATGTGGTCCCCAACAATGAACTAAAAAGAACGTATCGAAAACTCGTCAGCGTTATAACCTAACATGTGTAACTTGTCTATAGCTGTGGAGGTCACTCAAGTTTGTATAAGTAGTTCTTGCCTCCTCTGGTGTTTCTGACATCCATTAAGGAAGCACTTGTGCATTTTCCTTTTGATATGAACGTAAACATTGAAACCCTGAGGCAGAAATTACAGAGGAATAATATACTTCTTAAGAGACGTTCTACCAGCTCAGCAAGAAAAGCTGTCAAGTGAAATTATTTGACCTATATATTTTTTTCTATTTTTGGATTCTATGATCAAAACTGGGGTTATGAAAAAATTTTAAGATCGTTTGGACTTGATTTCGCCGAGTTATAGAATTTATAAAATTAGGTGTATCAAAGATTTTCAAAAAAGCGCCCTCCGTGATTTTTTGCCTATAACTTCGTCAAATTTTATCCGTTCTATCCGAATGACATCTCATTCCAAAGTCCATCAAAAAGTGAACAAAATCAGATGTTTATAAACTTTTTACGGGTTAAAACGGTTTTCCAGAGACTGGATCTCTGGAAAACTCCTTAAAAAAGCTTTTCAAAGCCCAACTCTCATGCCATTAGAAAGAGGATCATGAAAAACCTATGAAAAAATGGTTCATGAAATTTTAGTTCACTCATAAAGCTAAACTCCGCTTGCTCTAGCAAAAAATGCCCACTGTGCTATGGGCCTCTTCAAACGAAGATCTGTCTTCTTCAAATTTTTCTTCTATTAGTCTTTTCATCCTAGTGTTATTTATTATGTTTTATCAAGTTTGTTGGCGCTACTGTTTAACTGTGATTGTTTCTTCATTTTGTTCGTTTTTTGAACTGTCATTGTTGTTGTAATTTTTAACTGTGCTCGTCATCAACTGACTCCATCTTTCTGTAAATAAAATTCTGCAGGTCGGAGTTCACAAGGAATAGATCTAGTGGCTAGTGTTAGAAATTTCAGAATAAAAAATTAGGTTTAAAACTAATGCTAAATCTAATTCAGCTCTGTTTACATTTGACCTATTCTAGATGAACTACAAAGAAAGCAGCAGTTTCACAGATGCAAACAAGACATTGCTTAAAAATTTACGTGAGATTTTGGAATACTATGAATATCCAGTCTTATTCAGTTTATTAAATTTACGCTCAACAATAAGTGATGATAATCCAAATAAATCAAAACTAATGAGAGAATTATTAATCAGAAGTACGCTACATCGTGCAGGCAATGTGAATTAGATGGTCTTGTAGTCATTATCAAAGAAGATGATATATTAGCAGCATGCACAACTCAAAATGATATGGAAATATTGAAATCAATGGCACATGAACTCGCAGTGATAGACATTCGACCCAAAAATTGTATTTGTACTGGTAACGGTAATAAAACTATGAAGGTGAAGCAAATGAAATGCTTTGATATCGGAGGAAACATCTGTGATGTTAATATTCATTACAGTGTCTGTGAGAATCTGGACCCTGTCGGTAAGCAGAACTTTTTTGATCGGAATCTCTCTACGGGGAACTAGTTTTCTCTATACATCACTGAAAATAAAACAAGGGTTTCAAGAATTGAAACTATTTCTAAACCATTTTTAGGTATCGGACGAAGAACATCTGTAGCCAGATACTAAACATGTTAGTTAAATTAGAAATATTTTCTTCTCCTTGAATCAAGATTATTATTTTATTAACTATTTCCTCTTCGTTCTCTCTCATAATGCGCTCTTATTTTCTTCTCACTATATCTTTCTTGAGCGGATTGGTTGTCGGGTAACATAGGGTTTTATTCAACCATCCATCGACTGAGTCATTTTATACTGACAAAATAATGCTGGATTAGTTTTCAAGTAAATCACAAATAATCAAGCTCTGCTCAAATGTACAAGACTGACGGCTTCTTCCAGATGGTTAAAGCGCCTACACTAGAGTTCTTCTTGAAGAAGTCAAGCAACATTTTTGGTACTATAGCAATAGTTCATTTTTTCTAAATATATTCTTTCATTTTAATTTTATTGTTTTTCGTTTAATGCTTTATTCTATGTATGGAAGAAAAAAGAGCAGAAAGAGAATTTTTACTGCTTATGAATTCATAGGTCTTGGTTTCTTCATTCAATATTTTGCTTGTTTCTTTTTATTATTAGCAGTCGGGAGTGTCTACCATCATTAAACATTTACTGGATTTAAAGAACGAGCACCAACCAAATGTGGTGCCGGTTCCTTTCTTGAATCAGCACTACTATGTTGATTTTTTCGTGCTGGCGTCTTCGAGGAGCATTTGTTTCAACACCGGTCCTATTTCACCTTTCGAGCTGTTGTCGTATCCTAATATTCGTCTTCCTTCTTCTTCTAAATCTTCAGCCATTGCAGTTAATCGTTCGGTTTTCTCTTCGATTTTTCTTTCGATTGTTGATATTTGCTGATTTTTTCTGTCTTCGCCAATTGATACTGCTGTTGTTTCATCTAGATTTGCTCGACTCGATGCTGGATTTTGATCATTTTCATTTGGTGTTTGTTCAGCGTTTTCTTCTTCTTTGTCGTTGTCTTGTTGGAGTTCTGTATGGCCGGTTATGGACCTATCATTGTCCAATGATTTCATTTCTATGTGATATTTTATTGGGAGAAAAAGTATAGCATAGTATAATGGAAGCTTCAATAAAAAATTTTTGCCCGCATTCAGAGAAAGACAATAACCTGACGAAAAACTAATATTTTTCTTAGGTGCTTAAGAGACGATTCGCCAGCCCATCAAGAAATCAAGTCACCAGTGAAATATTGACATATACTTTTTATTTCATATTCGGATTCTACTATCAAAACTGGGGTTATGAAAAATAAAAGAAACTTTCTGACTTATTCTGACTGAGTTATAGAATTTAGAAAATGAACACCATCGTCGATTTGCGAAAAGTAGCTATCTTTGATATTTCGACTATAACTTCGCCATTTTTTATCCGTTCTGTTCGAGTAAAATCTCAACCGAAAGCCTGATAAAAGTGAACAAAATCACCTAGTTTCTAATTTTTCTGCAGTAGGAAGTGACTGTTTAAAACTCACATCAATTGGAGAATTGGGATTTTGAAGGATCAAAATTTTCGAGAAAATACTGCCTTCGACCCTCCAGACAGAATTTAGCTAAGAATTCGAAGGTCAAATGCGATAGAGAATTCAATTTTCCACAAACTGAGCGCAAAAACTTTGTTTTAAAAGTGGTGCAAAAGTTCCAAACTTGAAAACAAGATGGCCGACTAACTGCGAGTTTTCAGTTTTCTGAGATTTTACTCATCGAAACTTCACTTAAAAGCAAAAGTAAGGTGATATTGAAATCAGTGCCAAAACTGCATCCAATGACGTGCCTTTCAAATCTTTTAGAGAAATGAAAAATTCCGTCAAAATTTGCTCGGATGCCGAACATAAAAAATCGAAAAATTGTCGAAATTTTTTTACTTTTTTCTTAATTTTTTCACTTTTATCAGGCTTTCGAATGAGATTTTACTCGAACAGAACGGATACAAAATGGCGGAGTTATAGTCAAAATATCAGAGATGGCTACTTTTCGTAAATCGACGATAGTGTTCATTTTGTAAACCCCAGTTTTTCATAGTAGAATCTGAATATGAAATAAAAAGTATATGTCAATTTTTCACTCGTGACCGGTCTTTGGCATACTCGATCAATTGGCGAAGTCTCTCTTAAAACTGCAGAGATCGGGTTAAAGCAAGTTGGTATTAGAAAATTCCTGAGAGGATAGTGTCTGAGACAGATGCCTTTAGCTGAGATGTTATTTTCACACAAGAATGCTAGAAAAAAGAAGTCATTATAAAGTCATCAAAATCTTTGCTGAAGAAGTTGGCCCAAAACATTTTTTTCCTTTTCACTTCAAGACAACCACTGCTGATTCGATAGAGATGATAGAGAATTCAAATTTAGAAAAAACGAAGAGTAGAATGGAGAACATTAGTGCATGAAAAATCGGTTTTTGTGAAGCACTTTATGCGAAGCATTTTTTTTAAACTATATAAGTTTGTGAGAAAAATTTCTGTGCCTTTCTAACTTTGTATGGAGAATATGATGAGTATCTCAAAAAAATATAAAGGTTTTTTCGTCAATATTATCTCATGAAAACCGAAATTACCTGTACTAACGAAAGAGACCCCATTGGAATATTATGTCTTTGCACTTGACTGGAAAATATTTTGCAAATGTTTATGCAAGTAAGATTATGTAGAATAACAAAAACTCAAAACAAAACAAACATACACGTTGTACGGAAACAGACAGAAATATTTTTTCTTTATTGTTTTCGTTTTTGACTCACCTTCTTCGTATCTACCTTTCTTTTCTTTTTTATTCTGACTCCTTCTTTCTAATTGAATTGACTCATCTGTTCATTCACACGTGAGAAATAAAAAATGGTTCTTTAGGGGTTTTTAAAAATCTTCCTCTTCCAGGCTATATACAGACAGGATGCTGGTACTATAAGAAAATCGTCTTTCTTTTATTTTCATTTTATTATGCTGATTTTTAATTGAAAAATACAGATAAAAAATTGATTTCATATAAAAAGAAAATCATGGTACTTCAAACGAACAGTTGACTTCGCATAACTAAAGTGGTTATGCTTCTTCGACCACAAAGGATGTAATAGTCCTATCTGATCTGCCTTCGAAATAAGCTACAACTCCCAAAATTGTGATCGATTGTCCACATTAAACAATTTGTTATGCAATTAGAAACCATACATAATGATATCTGGATGCTTCAAATCCATCGCTCTGTACAAGAGAAAACAAGGTCTTTATAAACTACTATCGTTTTCAATGAATAAGACAGTCTGGTATTTTGCTTATAACTTGTTAAAGATTTTTCGCGGTTCGGACGTTGTATTGGATTTCCGACGAGTTCCAAGAGTGCCACCTGGTGACTCTTGGTAGCCTTAACGACGAATGTACTATAGATAAGCGACCGTGCTGAGCCTCATGGCAATATTTGTTTTTAGAAAAAGTTTTGACAATCTACCGAAAAGCCAGTTTTACGAAAATTAGGATTTTCAGGCTGTTTCACCTAGGATTAAAAATTCACTATTCACTTAAAAAACATCAGGACGAGTTCAAAATCTCAGGAAATTATTAATGTTGACCGCTAAACGTGATTATAAGATCGAAGAAATAGCAAAGCATATTCTTGTTAATAGGTTTTACAGAAAGCCTTTTGGAAAACCTTAGGTTTTGTAAAATTTATTTCGAGATCTCCTATAAACAGGATAGAAAATAGCTTAAATATTCTACATTCTGAGATTTTGAACTCGTCCTGATGTTTTTTAAGTGAATAGTGAATTTTTAATCCTAGGTGAAACAGCCTGAAAATCCTAATTTTCATAAAACTGCCTTTTCGGTAGACTGTCAAAACTTTTTTTAAATACAAATATTGCCACGAGGCTCAGCATGGTCGCTTATCTATAGTACATTCGTCGTTAAGGCCACTAAGAGTCACCGGGTGGCACTCTTGGGACTCGTCGGAAATCCAATACAACGTCCGAACCGATGATCTGGGATTGTTCAAAAATTCAACATTATTTTTGTGATCACCCTCTCCGTCACTTCAACTGACCCTCCAGTATATACACTGCATTCTGTTTTACACCGTTTTGTCTTCGACAACAGATGCAACGAGAGATTTTACTTTGATATCCGGAGTACTCAGCAAATTCTCTTTGTATAACGCCACGCTGCCTGTGTTTTACTGTTTTGTCTATTTATTTTGAAATAACAGATAAGAAATGATCTACAGAAAGAATAGAGAGAAATAAGATAGTTCTCACTTTATCATACTATCACTTCATGATTCATACTTTTACTTTGTTCTTTTTTTCAATACTATTTTTCATTTTACATCACGCATCTACTGTATAATCCACTTTTCTTTTATTTTGTGTTTATTATCCAGGCGAAGTCAACTTTTCTTTTATATTTTTTCTCAAGACTTTATGTAAGGTTAAAACATGTGTATTAAGTAGGCACGATTTTTCATGGACAAAGACAATATTTTAAGAGAAATAATCTTTTAATGCATTCAGCGGGTTTAGTCTTTCTTATTTATGCTCACAATAACTGGAATTTCTGCATGTTCAGCCCTCACTTCCACAGATCACCTCATTTTTCAAACATTTCACGTTCATAACTGAATTATATCTTTGCTTTTCCTTCTAGATGACTTCCTCTGATCCATTATCCTGGAATGTTAATGATGTTTTGGCGTGGTTACATGTTTTTATTGACGATGTAGCGCACAGTGGGCATTTTCTCATAGGGCAGGCGGCATTTTTTCCCCGTTAACGTTTTTTGAATCCAAAAACATTTTTTTATAGGTTTTCGACTATGCTGAGTCTAATGGCGATGTCAGAAATTGAAAAG